ACTCTCGCGACATGAGCCATACTTTCACAGTGCTCACGAAGCGACGTCGAGCTTCAAAAAAGATAAATAAATAAAGTGAAGGCAAAAAAATAGGAATGACAAGTTTCTGTTACAAAAACAAGTAGCTAATTTCAACAGCAAATATACATATATCACATACAAAATGGCCATTCAATTCATTCATTCACTGATTACCACAGTGTTGCGTTCAAACCGCAAAAGTTGCATTACGCCATATTGCACAGTGTTCAAAAACGCATGCGTAAAATACGAAAGTGATCGAATCAAAGTACAAACGGCGAAACGACGATCATACTATAAGAAACTCTTTTCACCACTTCCTCTCCCCCTTCCCTTTTACACATAACTGGCGCCTAATACAAGCAACTGTTTTAACAATGACTACGGTACCACATGCTAAATTGTCAATAATAAACTAATGAGCTACGATAATGCAACAGAATTAAGAATTAATGAATAAGAAAAAAACGGCACACACGCATAAACAAACAAACGACATGTATACACCCACACGTAGGAAAAAAAGCGAGCAAGGAGAAAAACGTAAAGATAAAAGAGTGGAAGAAAAAAAAAAAAAAAACGAAAAATCACTAAACACAAATCGAATATGTGACAACCACTTCGAAAGAAAAAAAAATAACAAAAAAACAAATGAGTTCTTTTTTTTTTTTTTTTGCATCCAAGCAAAAATAAAAGAAAAAAATAAGGAAAAAAACAAAAATTCTAACAATAACACTAGCAGCACTGCAAGCAGAAACAGCTCCAAAATTCTAGCAAAATACAGCTTTTATTTCTAGCTTGGCTCTGTATGGTGGCATACCAGGACAGGATCTCCTGGCAGGCTCGACATCGTACTTGAACGATACTCTTCAACGTACTCAACAAGCACAGTGCATTCGACGGACTGGTATTGCTGCCTTCACGGATATGGTTCATCTGCAACAAACAAATACAGCGGCTTTTGGCTGTAACAACAGCAGCACTGAAATTATCCCGCCGATGAAGATCACAGTTATAGCCCCAAGGTAAAACTGTTGGAAATGGCGCCAATTAGAAATAGTTAATTGGGCTTTAACAGTTTCAATGTATCAGTGATAGAATTTTTTTTTTGTTTTTTTTTCATATAGCTTATGTATCAAAAGTTAAAATTTCAAGTTGCCATCCAGCTGGTGTCAGTTGAATTGGGCTAGCTTGTTAGATGTAGGCCGATAATTGGTGCAAGGTTTTTCATTATTATCATTGTTGTTGGGTCAAATACACAAATAAGTAAATATAGAAAAAAATTATATATATTTACATTATATTTATATATAAATAGCTAAGGCATCTAAAATACTGTTCAGAGTAATTTTTTGCTTCGATTTTTTTTCAGGCAATTATTGACAGTAGCAGTAGTGATATTAGTGGCAACAGCAACAGCAGCATTA